AGGGGCCGGAGCTCTAGCACAGCTGGTAAATCACCAGCCGGAGGTTTAGCACAGCTGGTAACTCACTAGAAACTATAAGATCTATCAACCGAAAGGTTGCAAGTTTGAAGCCCCGGGTCGGCATGAGCACCTGACTGTCAGCCCTGCTCACTTGTTTGCCTAAGCAGTCAAAAACAGCTTTAGTTGTAATTAGAAAAATTAAGTACCGCTAAAAGCGAGGGAGGTGTTTTATGATGCCATAAAGGAAAAAGATCAGAAAATGCTGGGTGACTAAAGGAAAGGAGAAGGAAATCCTGACAGCTCTTCGTCATAGAGTATGTAGCAACAGCACCCCCTGCCAATACTCCAGAAGACAGGAGCAGAATTCAAAACCATCTTAAAAGATTAAAGAGATGGGCCAAAATTAACAAAAGTTCAATAGTGACAAATGCAAGATACTGCACTTAGGCAGAACAAATGAAATGCAAATATACAGAATGGGGGACATCTGGCTCAAGAGCAGTACATGTGAAAAAGATCTTGGAGTCCTTGTGGACAACAAGTTAAACATGAGCCAACAATGTGATTCGCTTCAAAAAGAAAAAAAGCCAGTGGGATTTTAGCCTGCATCAATAGGAGTATAATGTCTAGACTGTGGGAAGTCATGCTACCCCTCTATTCTGCCTTGGTTAGACCACATCTTGAATACTGTGTCCAATTCTGGGCACCACAATTGAAGGGAGATGTTGACAAGCTGGAATGTGTCCAGAGGAGGGCAACTAAAATGATCAAGGGTTTGGAGAACAAGCCCTATGAGCAACGGCTTAAAGAGTTGGGCATGTTTAGCCTGCAGAAAAGAAGACTGAGAAGAGACATGATAGCCATGTATAAGTATGTGAGAGAAAGTCATAGGGAGGAGGGATCAAGTGTGTTTTCTGCTGCCCTGGAGACTAGGACGCGGAACATTGGCTTCAAATTACGAGAAAGGAGATTCCATCTGAACATTAGGAAGAACTTCCAGACTGTAAGAGCTGTTCGGCAGTGGAACTCTCTCTCTGCCCCAGAATGTGGTAGAGACTCCTTCTTTGGAGGCTTTTAAACAGAGGCTAGATGGCCATCTGTCGGGGGTGCTTTGAATGCAATTTTCCTGCTTTTTGGCAGGGGGTTGGACTGGATGGCCCATGAGGTCTCTTCCAACTCTATGATTCTATGATTCTGTGGCTGGAGTGAGTCAAAACAACACACCTCCTTCTGTTCTGTCTGTTTATTGCCTATACAAAGCGGCATTGAATGTTTGCCGGGTATGTGTACTGTGATCCGCCCTGAGACCCCTTCATGGTGAGAAAGGTGGAATATAAGTCCAATGTGCTGTTGTTGTGACACAAAAGCACAGTATGTCACAGCAAACGAGATCTATATGCTGGATTTCTTCTTCTTCTTATTAGAAACATAAGATGAGTTCATGACAGACAAGATCACTCTGCTGGCTGTTGTATTGGATCACACTTCGGACATTTCCTAAGTGTCTAGGACTCTATGATGTATCAGCAAATAATGCATGCAGATCCCAGTAAGGTGGCCTTCTGCAGCTGGCAGATGGTAATTTTGTCAGCGTCAATTGTGTTTAAATGCAGGCCAATGCCTTTAGGCACTGCACCCAGTGTGCCAATCACCACTGGGACCACCTTGACTGGCTTGTGCCAGAGTCTTTGCAGTTCAATCTTTAAATCCTCATATAGTGACAGCTTTTGCAGTTGTTTCTCTTCAATCCTCTTGTCACCTGGGATTGCAACATCAACAATCCATACTTCGTTTTTTAACATGATCGTGAGGTCAGGAATATTGTGCTCCAAAACTCTGTCAGTCTGAATTCGGAAGTCCCAAAGGAATTTGACGTGTTCATTCTCTGTAACTTTTTCAGGCTTGTGATCCCACCAGTTCTTTGTCATAGGCAGATGGCATTTGTGGCACAAGTTCCAATGAATCATCTGAGCAACAGTGTTATGCCTCTGCTTGTAGTCTGTCTGCGCGATCTTCTTGCAGCAGCTGAGGATGTGATCTATGGTTTCATCTGCTTCCTTGCAGAGTCTTTGTGGTGGCCCCTCGGTTGTGAAATTCCCTTCCCAGTGACATCAGACTGGCCCCCTCCCTCTTTTCCATTAGAAAGAAACTAAAGACCTGGTTGTGGGATCAAGCATTTGAACAGTAGCAGCTGCAATTGGGATAAGACTCAATGTGATATGTATGAGAATGGACTGTCCCAGACAATTATTTTTAAACTGGCGTGATTTTAATCAAATGTTTTTAATGTAAGTATTTTAATGATCTGTTTTAAATGTGTATGACTGTGGTTAGCACTCAAATGAGTGCTTGTTGTGAAGCTTCCCTGAGTCCGTGTGTCGTCCCCCCCCCCCGGGGGGGTGAGAAGGACAGGGTACAAATGTACGAAATAATAAGCATTCTCTCCTGACATTTTGCCTGCATCTATGGCAGGCATTCTCAGAGGTTGTGAGGTCCTCACAATCTTTGAGGATGCCTGTCATAGATGCAGGCGAAAGCCAGGAGAAAATGCTTCTGAAACATGGCCATACAGCCCAAAAACACACACAACAACCCAGTGATTCCGGCCATGAAAGCCTTTGAAGATACATTACCTATTATGCTGCTTAAAGCAGACACACATAAAATATGTCAAGACAGGGAATGGAAAAGGAGGTGCCATACAATTGGAGGTAGATATTTAAAGATTAATTATATGCATGACTACCCTTGCTGGAGTTAAAGAGGCAGAGCAAGTCTGTCTTACACAGCTTTTGAGTCTGTTGACATCTCGTAACTTATTCTAAATAGGTTAAGGCATGCTAATAAGCTGGCTTTGCCCTCTGCAATGCACAAGCAACCTGTATGAACCTCCCTTGTTTCATCATACATACAGTTTTAAAAAATTCAAGTTGAGCAGTACATTAGACCACAACTTGGAAAACTACTGTTTCATTACATTCCAGAACCTGCCAGCCAGCATAGGCACCAAGACAAAACAACCTTCAGGCTGCGAGTAATGAAATATGGACTGCAGAATATCTGAATCCATTTTAATCAAATTTATCACAGTTTAAAATGATATCTTTTATTCAAAATGTGATTTAAGAATACAAAATATTTGAACAAAAATGAAGGATATAAAGTGGCATACAATACATTGTGACATATGCATATGTCTTCAAAGTTACCTGTCAACTTATGGCAACCCCATGAATTTCATAGGATTTTCTTAGACGAAGAATAATCATAGGTTTGCCAGTTCCTGCTTCTGAAATATAGCCCACTACAACTGTTATTCCTTGGCAGTCTCCCATCCATGTACTTAGGTTTCAAGATGGCACATGATTATAATCTATAACCAAAACAGCTGGGGGTCTGTGTGATTCTGACTCCACTAGAGGAATATGAGTATTGCCTATGTCAATCCTTTTTCTGAATTGGACTTAGTGGTACTATATTTAGTTTACAGAAATTCTGACTGTCAATCAAACTGGCTAAGACCTATGAGAGTTCAAGTCAAAAACATCTTGAGGAACAAAGGTTGTAACCACTGAATTAAAAAACAGGGCCTAATCCAGGCCTGGCCAATCTGTTGCACTCCCAAGTGTTTGGGCCTCCAACTCCCAGAACTCCCAGCTACCTTGCTGTCTGTTAGGAATTATGGGAGCTGAAGTCTAAACACCTGGAGAGCCACAGGTTGGTCAGGCCTCAACCACTGTCAGAAACCCTTGGTGGAAGACAGACACTTTCTTATGAGCAGAATCAAGGACATACATAAACTAAAATGCATGTCATGCATAGCCAGTATAATGGAACCAAGGCCTTGATGGATCAAGGACCAGAACTTTTATATAATGTATATAGTTGGGATGATATCATCTGGCACATCTCTCAAACTTCCCTGTTCTGCCATGGATTTGTTGCATGGCTCATTGAACAGTGATCAGGAACTGATTTTTCCAGAAACAATATGGTGTTCCAATCAAGAAGTATTTTGAGGTACTTGATTCTGAACAGGTAAGTAAGATTTATGAGCTTTACAACAGGTGTAAAGAAAAGCCCGAAAAATGATGTGCCAACACGATTAGTACAGTTATCTGCATTTTTGATGGACATTGAGATTGTGGTTCTGGGGACTGTAATGATGAATGCCTACACTACACACAGATTGTTCAGTTGTGTACATCAGGAAGTTGTAGCCCCTCATCCTTTTAATTAGTTCAACACCTCTCCATCAACAAATGGACTTTTTTTTTCATCATTTAGAACTCCTCCAAACAGAATTCTTGCCAAGATGGATCCTTGATTTCATGCAAAAGAATATACATTACATTCAAAATAATAGCTTTAGAAAGCTGAACCATAGAATACAGATAGAGGTTTGGTCTGAATTTAGAAAAGTTACTGTTTTGGATCAGAGCTCCCAGAATCCCCCAGCCAGTATGACCAGAGTGCAAAACTATAACTTTTCTAAACTCTGAGCTTGCTCATATTTATTTTATTCATTTACCACTCTTTTATTCCACCCTTTTCAGCCCAAAGGCGACTATTGTTTCCCTACAGATGTCAAATTAGCATGTCCTTGACGTAGTAGATTTTCACAGATCGCATTTAATATCTTATATCAGCCAACATGGCATAGTGGTCTGAGTGTTGGACTACAACTCTGAAGACCAGGGTTTGATTCCTCACTTGGCTGACCTTGGATGAGTCACATAATCTCAGCCGCAGAAAACACCATGATAGATTTGCCTTAGGGTCACCATAAACTGGAAATGACATAAGGCACACAACAGCGACAGCAGTCTTAAAAGAGAAGATTCAACAACTAGACATTCAAAATGATTACTTGCAGTTGCGGGATATTAATTAATCTTTGGTTGAGGTAGAGCATGTTGTTACTACACTGTCTTCTTTCTTTTGCTAGGTAATTAAATTAATATTGATTTGATTGTCACCAGTGCTGGTACAGAGGGGGGGGGGGGGGAAACCTTGCAGTATACACAAATGAAGGAGAAGAGGAGGGTGAACTGGTATTGATTTGATCAAGGAAGATGGTTCCAGACCATCTAAAAAWCAAAGGCTACATTTTTAATCCTATGACAGAGGTGGGCTAATTGTGGCCCTGCAGATGCTGCCGACTACAAGGCCAATAAATCCTAGAAGGCATAGTAAATAGTGATGACTGGAAATTGCACTTCAAAAACATCTGATGGGCCACTCTTTGCTCATTCTCCACCATTTTATAGAAATATCCTATATTATCCCCTTTTATATTTTTAAGATGAGCCATGATGTCTTATCTTAATATACCTGATCCTTAGCAATGCTATTTTCCCAATGAATCAATGTTATCATAATACAGGACTGAATTTTCCTTCAGCCCTAGGTGTTAGGCCTGATGCTTAATCTCAGATTTTACACTAATTGTGTAAAATCAGCACCTTTTGCATTCTCTTTTACAGGCACCAACAGACATGTCAGGAGGAAACTCTGCCTCCTGGTGGTGTGCTGGCAAAATAATTTCAACTTCTTGGTTTTTTAAGATCACAAGGTGAAAGGACGGGCTTTCCTGGCTTCAGGGTGCTGTTGCACAAAGCTGAAAGGCTGGTCCAAATACATTGTCGGGTAGAGATACCACATGACTACTCCAGAGGGATTAACCACAACGGTGAAGTTGTCTGCAGCCTTCAGGCCACTGATGATTTGACCAGTGTACACGTCCTGTGCCTGGGGAAAAACACGCAAAAGAAACAACTATTATGGGAAACAGTCACCACAATTTATAGATGGATAAATAAATTAGAATAGATGCAACTGCTCTGAATACATCTTTGACATGATTCAATGGCTCCACTGTAATGCAACCCACAGGCAAAGCTTGAGGAGCTACCTTTTATAAGTGATTTATTTTTTTTAATCATTGTAGTGACCAAGCAGGGATTAGTCATCATTGGGCATTGAAGTATTCATAAAATAATTTGTTATGCTACTTGTCATGGTGCTTGTTGTTTTCCATTTGCTTTTAGTAGGGGTGGAACTGGGAAGAGAATGGCATGAAATTTGAACAACTCACATCTAAAAATGTCAAGAATGTTTACAAATGTCACTTAAAATTACATTTTAAAAGTATGTAGAAAACATTGATTCTCACATCAACAAAGTAATGATCAAGATTGGACTATCTACTAATCTTGACACAACTTTCTAATGTACTTTTAGCACTGTTTTTTTGTTTCCAAAACAATAACATGTTAGAAGTAACTATGTTAATGACAACTTATAAGTAACATATAGTTATGAGTAACTACATGTTATTCACAAGTTGTTATTTTCCAGCTATGTCTAAAGATGATAAAGTTTGTACCCTGACTGCATCTAAAAGTTAGGGATGAACCATTGGGTATTCCTCCCTAAACATATAGAATTTGCTGGGTTTTTCTCCACTATGCTGTGAGGATTTCTGTCATCACTGCAAATACATCATAATGATTAAAGAAATAGGTGAGTGTTTAAATGCAATAATATGAAAGTTGCTCAGTGTGATATATACCGTGTTTCTCTGAAAATAAGACACTGTCGTATATTTATTTTTCCTCAAGAAAACACGATCCTTTGCTGGAGCAAGAAAACACACAATGGCTTAGTTTCAGGGGATGTCTTATTAAGTATGGTACAACAATCTGCATTTATGGGATGATCTTTCTGGGGTCAGAAGCAGACTGCTTGCTGAAGTTTTTCCCCTATCCCCTGGTGTTTGTGTGGGGTGAGGTTGACCCACAAATTGCTGGTCAGTGCTGGGGAGCAGCAGCTTTACTAGTGTTTGTGGGGGGTGAAAGAGACCCACAGACTGTTGCTGGTTAGTGCCGGGGAGAGAGACCCTGTTTTGAGTAAAATGACAGCCACAGCTTAACTTCTTCCCCCTGAGGATGCATAATACCTAAAGCAGAGCATCCCACTCCTCACTTCACTGAGGAGACTTTTATTTTCACTTTCTATGCCTCCCTATATGCCTTAGCTTGCAGGACGCACAGAATGACCGGGACCTGACAGGGGGAGCCAACCTTGTACGCTGCATAGCCACTCCTATGTCTTATTTTTGGGGTATGGCTTATATTGCGCACATGCTTAGAAATCCTGCTACGGCTTATTTTATGGGTATGCCTTATTTTAATGGAAACAGGGTAGAAAATGAGAATTTTCAGTTACAATCCCCCATGCCCAGCAAGAGTTTGCAACACCAGCAGGAAAAAAGTGGGCTCTATTGGTTAGAAGGCTGAAAACAAGATCACCCAGCAGTAACTAAAATTTTACCTATGTACCATACCATAATACACAAAGAAAAATTTACCCAAAAGGTAAGTTGTGCCTCCCAAAGACCTCAATCCTTAGTCTACAGGTAATTCCTGACTATTTATTGCTGATATTCCAGGGATGTAAACTGCTGTGTGATACTGACAGTTCTTGCTTACCTCATACACAACATCCTGTGTAAAATTGAGATGAACAAGGGAGGTGGTATAGCGATAAGGCATGTCTGTCCTTCGGCTGAAGAAAACCAGAGCATTGGCTGAGTGTGACAGTGGCCGCAGGAACACCTCTATGTGGGATTTCTCCTACAAAAGCAGATGGTAAGATTAAGTGATAGTAATGGGGCCCTGTGTGGAACCTATACAATACACCAGGAAGCCTGTAAAATATAGTGATTAGAAGGCATTGGATTAGGGCTCAAGATGCTGAGGTTCAAATGTCCATTCTCTCAAAAATCTCACTGAGCGATCTTGGGCAGCCACTCTTGCTCAAACTAATCTGCTCCATAGGGTGCTATGGGAAAAGGAAAGGAGAACAGAACCACTATGTTCCTTGAAGAAAAATCAAGATATCAACAAGTTTTAAACAACAACACTCAAATTTGGCTCAAATTATTGATCCCTAAAAGGTCCTGAAGCAGAGACTGACAAGTTCTTTTTCTTTAAAATACAAATCTCAGAATCCCATGACCAGCAAGAACAGAATTGGAATGCCAAAACAAAGCCTAAAACAACAATACCGTTCCCAAGCTCTGATCAGAACATGAGAGAAGCCTCCCACATGATAGTAACACATCCTTAGGCAACATCTCTGCAGACGGCCATTTCTCTCATACCAGAAGTGATGTGCAATTTCTCAAGTTGCTTCTGACATGATAAAAAAAAATCAGAAAATAGGAGGGTGAATTTCCAGCTCCTTGTGCAATTTTGGTATAATTGTATGTAGCTTTAGGGTGGGGAAAATGAAGCCCTTGAATTACACAGGGCCCCAAATTCTCTTTTGTGCATCACCCCTTCTAAGGCAATTTGATGACTGAAAATTGCCCTCCAGAAAAAAAAATGAGGTGTCCAGAGTAGTGGAGTGCCTCCATCTCCCACTATTGAAAGCTGTAAATTGTACAAAAATGTGAAAGTCATAAATAAAAGTCATTTCTGACTGCAACATTTAGCTGCTATAGACACATGGGGCAAAAATTGACACTAGTGCAGGTAATCGTTCCTGAGCTGCCCAAAAGATTGAGCCTTTCCTTTCCCTACCTGAAGGATTCTGCGTCCTTGAATTCCCAAGGGGTCTTGGTTAATTTTGATCATCAGTTTGTTCTGTAGGATCTCCTTGGCACTCTCAGAGATGGTACGGAGGTCAGTGGACATGAACAGGGGAGCTGCCATTATAGTCCATAAGGCCATCTGGGAGCGAGCCTGTTCGTAGCTTAGGCCAAAGTTTCCAATGATGAGCTGCAGGACAAAAGGTAGGGTTTAACATCAAGGATGAGAGTGAAGAGAAGCATGAAAACAGATGGGGATGTAATTTGGATATGGATTAACTTGATGAAGGTCCTTGTTTGTCAAATAAAAATCTGACAAGCTGCCTCATTTCCTTGTTTTGGCTTAACTGAGGCATGGGCAAACTTCAGCCATCCAGGTGTTTTGGACTTCAACTCCCACAATTCCTAACAACCTACTAGGTGTTATGAATTGTGGGAGTTGAAATCCAAACCACTTGGAGAACTGAAGTTTGTCCATGCCTGGGTTAACCTCACCTAACATGTTTATAAAGAAATTCCGAGGTGGTACAGAAGAAATCAATTTAAAGATCTCAGGGTAGTTTTTACAGCAAATAAACAAAACAACAACAAAACTTGATCTCTAAATTGTTGAAGAAAGCTCAGAGTAACCAGGAAAAGATTGCTATATGAAAGCCTTGTTTGGTAATTTAGTTCCAACAAGTCCCACCGCTAGAAAATTTCATGTGGACTATAACCACCATAATCCCGTCAGCATAGCCAGTGACCACATATACAAAATCCTGAGAACAGATGACTACTTGTCAACAACATCTCTATTGCTGCTTTTCAACTTTAGACTGCCCAAGACATCTCTCTCTTGCTCCGAGTTCACTCTACATTACCATGTCTGGATCATTCCAATGACCAGGTCCAGCTACTGGCTGAAGGACATCCTGATTAGTGAAGAACCAATCCACAATGGAGAGGACACTGTCCCAAGAGTCTTGTATGTCATCGTAGTTTCGCCAAAGATTACATATGTTTGCCAGGAGAGTGTAGTTCACCTGAAAAAGGAACAAAAGGCAACAATTACAGAAAGGCTTTACACTTTGCAAATATGAACCTAGTCTATGAAAGCTTATGCTACCAACTTTGTTCTTAGTAACGAATGTACAACCAAATCTCTTTGCATAATGATATTCCAGACTCATACTGCTGTTTTTTGTCATGTTTATTTATATTTACCATATATACTCGATTATAAGCCAACCTGAATATAAGCTGAAGCACCAAATTTTACCACAAAAAACTGGGAAAATGTATTGACTCGTGTATAAGCCAAGGATAGGAAATGCAGCAGCTACTGGTAAATTTCAAAATTAAAATTGATACCAATACAAATACATTAATTGAGGCATCAGTAGGTTAAATATTTTTGAATATTTACATAAAACTGTAATTTAAGATAAGACTGCTGAACTCTGATTAACCACTATTCTAAGCTTCTTCAATGTAAATGTGCTTGCATTTCCTTCCAATAAAAATAAATAGAGTAAAATAATAAATGCAATAATAATAATAGAGAAAAATAATGGAAATGTAATAACAGTAATAATAGAGTAAAATAATAAATGTAATAATAACAATAATAAATAGAATGAAATAATAAATGTAATAATAGCAACAATAATAAAGTAAAATGATCAATGTAATAATAGCAATAATAATAATACATTTATTATGTATTTCTAACAGGGTAAGATAATAAATAACCTTTAGCCAATGGGGACTTTTTCAGCCTATAAAAAGGGCTGAAAAACTAGGCTTATGCTCAAGTATATTTAGGTCCCATTTTTACTCCACTTAGTTCAAAGTAGTGTACAGGGTTCTCCTCCTCCTCTTCACTTTATGTACGTAACAACAATTTTGTGGGGAAAACTGGACTGAGAAGGAATGACGGGCCTAATGTCTCCCAGTAATTTTTTTATGATCAGTTGGAGAGTAGAAACTAGAACTCCCAAATCTTATCACATCAAATTAGGTCCCAATCATGAGAAAAAGAGCACCGAAAACATCTAAAACCATGTTGAATACTGAGATAAAAATGATTGCACAAAGGATACATATTGTATTGAGCTTGGCAAATAGCTCAGCTGCTACAATAGAAGCATCTTGCAATAGATTATTGTGTATTGGCCTTATAATCTGAATGGATTTAGAGAAGAGCCAGTGTCGTGCAGTAGTTTGAATGTTGGGGGACCAGGGACTGAGTCACGCTATCTCAGCCTCAGAGCAAGACTATGGAAACTCTACGATCAAATCTGGACACAATAAAACCATATAGGTTTATCTCAGGGTTGATATATAAGTTGCCACAATATGGGATTGTAGATAAGACACCCAGGACTCCTTGAAGGAAGAGTGGGATACATACTGTGCTCAGTTCCAGCCACAGGTGGGTGCTGTCGCTCCTTCTCCTTGCCGAAGAGTTTTCTTTGTTCGTAAACTTCCTCCTTTTTTCTGATCGAAACGCTGTGCCTAAATTACTTCCCCACTTTAATGTGATTCCTATTTATCTACTCACATTTGTTTTGGAACTGCTAGGTTGACAGAAGCTGGGCTAAAGGTCAGGCGCTCACTGTCAACCTTCCAGTTGGCAAGATTTATTGCAGCTTGGTGATTAACCTGCTGTGCTACAGCCCGGCCCAGCTTTTTCCAAGGGGCAATCAAGAGATTTCATGTGCCTCTTGCCTAGACTTCAAAGCAGTTTCTTTTTTTTTTACTTAACTCCCAGAATCCAACAGCCAATATAATAAAAAAGTAATATTGTCTGCCATTTTAAAATGTAAATGTATGTGTCTGGCTGCTAGCATTGTTGATTCCTACTGACACTTCAGGGACAGAAAAAGGAACTGGCCCAAAGCCTTGTCAGAAATGACTCACCTGAGGTGGAAGTCCCCCTCGATAGGCTGGCCAGCTACAGGAATAGGCAATAGGACGGCCTGTTGCATTCAGAGCCTTGGACATTTTAGGATAACCTTTTAAGAAAAATATCACAATTGATACTTTTCACTCCAAAGCAATGGCAGTCTATAGAGAATTTTAGGGCTTGGTATCTGTGATTTTTATATAAGAGCTATTGTTATTTCAGTTGATTTATATACTTCATTTATATCCCGCCCTTCTCTACCCCGAAGAGGACTCAGAGGGGCCTTACAAATTAGGCAGCGATTTGATGCCAAAACTTAAAAACATACAATACAATAAACATTTACATTAAAACCAAACAGTAAAACAACACAATTTATGACCAGTTATTAAAACCACACCATCCAAAATCATAATCCGAAGCTGTTCTATTGGTCCGTTCACTCTTTCATATTCTCTTGCTGCACTAAAAGAAAACCTTGCTATCCAAAAGCTTGGTCACATAACCATGTTTTTACTTTCTTCCTGAAGGTCAGGAGGGAGGGGGGTGCTCTAATTTCACTAGGGAGGGAGTTCCATATGTGATGGGGCCACCACTGAGAAGGCCCTGTCTCTCGTCCCTTCCAGTTGTGCTTGAGAAGGAGGTGGGACCAAGAGCAGGGTCTCCCCAGAAGATCTCAATCTCCAAAGTGGATCATCCTTATTAGAATCAGGAACACATTCCTCAGTAAGGACTCTTTCATTCTCACAGTGATAGAGGCTTTTGTCCTGTACACTGAATCTGGTCTTTGCAAGATTGAAGTCTGATATGCTTATTTGGGAACACCTCTGTCTATGGAAAGCGAAGGAGAAATACTATCCACTAGGCCTGGGTAACAACGGAAAAATTTGTTTCTAAAATCAATTCGTTTTTTGGGGGTTTTTGCGTTTTGATATTTAAAAGAATTCCGATATTTTTCTTTTAAAAAGTTCGATATTTACGAAATTTCGTAAATGTAAAAAAAATTACGAAACATTAACAAACCAATTACGAAACAATAACGAATCGATTCGTTAATGGCGGACGCGACCGCGCAATACGCTAAAAAACCTCCAAATGGGACAAGGGGAACTTCTGAAGCTTCCCTCTCCCTCTGTTGTTGACTGTTGGTGTGATATTATAATTTTTTTTCACTAATTAAACAAAAAACAACTATAAAACTTGCCCCAGACATGCGGAAATAATAACGAAACGACCTCAAACCGATAACGAAACGAATACGTAACGAATCCGAAGCATTTATGAAACGAATTTAAAAATTCGTTTCGTTTTTAAGTTGCTCCAGAATGGTTCGTTATTGCTTCGTTATTAAGAAAAAATAACGAATTTTTAACGAATTACGAATTAACGAAACAAAACCGCCCAGCCCTACTATCCACATTCTCAAAATCTCATCAGAACCATATCCAAGGTGAGCATACTGCATTTCTTCAATTGGAAGACACCATCGATCGTAAGACACATCCTAATTTCAGTATCATCACCACGAACAAAAATGCATAAGATACACCTTCGATACTAAGACACACACCATGTTTAGAGATGCTAATATAGGGAAAAAAATTCTTGGAATTGAAGACATACAGGTTTTTTTAATACTGGTAACCAGGACAGTAAATAAAGAGCAACACTCTGAAAACAGGGGAATTCCAGACATGAAACAATCAGTCAGGCTTTGAATCAGGCAGCAATCAGCCAGGCCTTGAAGCTGCAAGGCTAATCAAGGTGATTACTTGCAACATTCACGCTTGTTTCCAACAGAAAAGGTTTCTTTCTCCCACCCTGGACCTTCCACAGATATATAAACCTCCCTGGCCTAGTTTCCAACAGACCTCACAACTTATGAGGATGCCTGCCACAGATGTGGGCAAAACGTCAGGAGAGAATGCTTCTGGAACACGGCCATACAGCCTGAAAAACGCACAGTAACCAGTGATTCCACCCATGAAAGCCTTCGACAATACATTGGAAAAGTTAGTCTTTTAGGCGACAACTACCACAATCTTTCATTCAGCATTGTCTGGCCATGCTGACTAGAAGATTCTGTGAGTTTTAATTCAAAAAAGGGAACACAAAACCTTATTAGCTGAGTAATAGGGAGAAATGCAAAGAAAGAGGAAGAACTCAGCCCTCACCTTGGGCCTGCACATCTGACGATGAGTAACAGCCATCAAATTTCAGCATGTCCACTCCCCATTGTGCAAATGTTAGAGCATCTTGTTCAATTCGATCCAATGTGGTGCCAGGGTACCCTCCACAAGTGAAGGTGCCAATGTCGCCATAAATGCCAAGCTTCAGCCCACGACTGTGCACCTGTCAAAGGAAGTCAAGACTTCTAAGACAGAGGGAAAAAATCCCATAAATAACCACTGAAGCAGGAAATGTGTGCATCACAGCTGTTGTCATACTGCCACATTTGGCTTTACACAGCATCCGTACTCACAGAATTCCCCTGTCTACCTGACTGCACAAGCTTGAGGAATCTAGAAATGGTAGTCCAAGAAGTGGAACTTCCAAATTCATCTAAAATTCATCTAAACCACTGCTTCTTAAACCGTGGGTCCCAACTCTTTTAGCTCAATGTTGGAGTCATGGAAAATTTGGCAACAGTGAAAGGTTTCTGAACACTACTCATTTACACAAATCTGTCAGCAACAATGTGTATTTACAGTGGACTCTGCAGAAAATGCTTCAGTTGTACTCCACTAAAAGGGAAATCAACTTGTATAGCAAGTCTTGCCAATTCTGTTTTATTATCAGTAAATGGTGACATACGATTAGGGGATGGGAGAGAAAGGGGTCATGAAAAAAAATCTTGGGTGGAAAGGGGTCATGAATGGATAAAGGTTTAGGAAACCCTGATTCCACATAAACACACTATATTTCTCTCTTCCTGCTCCAAGAAAGATCTTGGCTTATAGCTTCTCCAGCATTTTTATCTTGGCTTGCCCACTGTAGTGTGTACGTCTTCTGACACTAAGCATATGGATTTTAGAATCACTTGGACAGATTAAACAATATGACTCACTGGAAAAGATAATAAAGTGGGAAGCAGTAGGAAAAGAGGAAGATCATACTGCAGTTGGACAGATTAAGTCAAGGAAGCCATGACCCTGAGTGTGCAAAACCCGAACAGATCTGTTTATAACTGAGCTCTCCTTGAACAATGTCACTCTCTACTTCACTAAGGCACAAAAATCTCAGGATTCCACAAGATGCAGCCACAATAAAGTGGTATTAGATTCTTATAGCTATGTACCGTAGAAGCATTTGCGCTGTCATAGACAGAGATGGTTGTTTTTCAAAATCACATTTCATTTATTTCACAGAAGTGTCTACTCACATAATCTGCTAATGCTTTTATTCCACTTGGGAACCTCTCAGGATCTGGAATGAGCTGCCCTGTAGCACTTCGCTCCTTTGCTGTCCAGCAGTCATCTATATTCACATAAACGTAGCCAAGCTCTCTCCAGCCATCCATGGCCAAACGATCTGCCATGTCCATGAAGAGCTTCTCACTGTCCCACAAATAGAAAAAGTAAGCCACAGAACGCAAAAGTTAAAGCAGATACTCAGTGGAGTACTTGCACTGAAGACAAAGCCCCTGAAACACAGCAGTCCTACACACTGAACTGGAATGCTTTGCCATGGCAAGCACCTTCTTTCCTTCAAGAGATGGCAAACTTAAACTCCTCTGATGTTCAAAGTGGTTTCCATACTAATGCCCTTCAGTGCTACTATGGCATTACTTTACCCATCAACAGCTGGAAGCAGAATTAAAAAGGAATATTCAGATAGCACTTATTATACAGTCGTTATTTTTCTCCTTTTCTGATTCCAATTTTCAAAATATTTTTTTCCATTTATGTTTTCCTTTTGGATTATAATTTCCAGAATTCTTCTTCCAGCATTCTGGAAAATATAGCCCCAAAAATATCGTTTCTAATCTCCTTCCATTGTTAAAATCCTTCCATTGTTAACTGAGAAGTCAGCCTCATTCCTTAGAGATCCCTGCCAAAGTAAATTTCAAAAGCGTCCTGTTTATGAGATCTGTTTCCTTAATTGTTTCCTGCTGCGCATCACTGATTTAATTTAATTTCCCCCTTTAGCTTTGTACCGGAAAAGTATTCAGCAGTTATCTTGTAAGATAAGTAATAAAATTACTTGAAGCCACATACAAGAAACTTTAGATTGCTGGTAGTGCAACCATTACAAGACCTCATACTGTTTTGCCACCACATACTGAGTCTGCAACTGTATTTTATTTTAATTTGTAAGCATTCATTTTTAACAAATACATTGTTTAATACAGAGGCAATATTATCTTGCATTACATATTCAAATCAGAACTTGTGAAGAGGATGTATACATTTCCAGGAGACAAAGTCAGAATCAAGTAACTTGCTGTGTGCCTTCAAATTGTTACGGTGATACTAAGGCAAATCTATCATTGAGTTTGGGGTTGTTTTTTTTTCTGGAAGTTTTAATGGAAGTTTGCCATTGTCTTCCCCTGAGGCTGTGAATATGTGACTTGCCAAATGGGGTTCCATGGCCAAGCAGGGATTTGAACCCCAGATCTCCAGAGACCTAGGTCAACACCCATACCACAAGCCCCTTAATATAGTTATTATAGTTAGTTATTTCATAATAATATAATATACTTTATTATATTCTGCCCTATCTCCCCGAGGGGACTCAGGGCGGATTCCAGTACACATATATGGCAAACATTCAATGCCGTTATACAACTAACAGACAGACAGTACATAAACAGAGGTAAAGGCTTCTCATGTCTTTCTATCTCCATAATCTGGAGGCTGTGCTTGACTCCAGTCCTGGGGGTAGAAGTGGGGTTGCTGTTGCTCCATCTTCCATGCCAAGTTTTGTTGTCCTTGGATGCTCTCCCAATCGAATTGCTGGTATGTCCACATAGGCGCCTTTTATTACCTCCCCGACAAGGCAGTACCTATTTATCTGCTCGCATTGCTCTATGGCCGCAGATTGATGTGCTAAACAAGAAACCTTTATTCCTCTCTATACTGCAACTTCTATCTTCACAGCCAATGTTACTAAGAACTATAAATTGCAATCCAAACTGTCTGAAGGGAAAAAAAGATTCCCCATTCCTGCAACCCCAATTGATGCTCCAAATTCTATGGCTACCTAAGGCCCCATCTACATCGCCATATAAAATCCAGATTATCCGCTACAATTCCAACACTATATTGCTAAAATGCCAACATATTTACTGTAATAGTAACAAATGGGTTATCATTTTTTTAAAAAAATAACACTTGTTGTTAAACATGTATCCTTTGAAAAATCCTTAAAATTAACAAAAGCTACCCTTTCCTCCAGAAACAAATGGGTGAATAAAGATGATCAGCCAGACACTGTCCATTTGGACATCCCAAAAACTTTTGACAAAGTTCAGTCTCTCACTACAGAGTCTGAGAAAACAGAGCAGTCATGGGATTAAGAGGATCAGTAAAAAAATCATGAACCTAGGTGTGTTTTCAGAAATCAGCTTCGTACATTTGTATATCTGTTATGTGCTTAATAAACAGATTTGTCGTTGAAAGAAAAAAAACCCAGAAGCCATGGAAAAAGCACAAAAGGATTACAAGCACAAGAAGGGTTTTGAACCCTTCCATAACATGAATGAAGCAAGGCTGTCAGGAATGCACTGTCAGGAATGACCTTTCAAATAAAGGAACAGATCTCATAAGGGATGCAAGATGAAGTAGGTTCCTGCAAGGCTCTTTAATGGAAAGGTTTTTTTTAAACTAAACTAGATAGTAGCGGAACACAGCTAAGTTTGCAGAGGATACAAATTATTCATGGCAGTAGAAACAAAGAAGAATTGTGAAGAGCTCCAACAAGATGTTCCCAAATTGGGGGAAATGAGAATTAAAATAATCAGCACAGTCTAATGAAAGCATGTGTACAATTAGGCCCATGTAACTAGGGGTGGGGGCTTGTCTTATGATGGTAATGACTGATAGGAACAGCAACTTCCAGTCATTACAGATAATTCAATCAAAATGTCCATTTGGTATGCAGAAAATTCCACAGTGAGAATTTAGGAAAGAAAACAAAGTAAAATTATCATAGAATCATAGAGTTGGAAGAGACTTTGAGGGCCATCCAGACCAACCCCCTGCTAAGAAGCAGGAAAATCGCATTCAAAGCACCCCCAACAGATGGCCATCCAACCTCTGTATAAAAGCCTCCAAAGAAGGAGCCTCCACCACACCCCGGGACAGAGAGTTCCACTGCTGAACAGCTCTCACAGTTAGGAAGTTTTTCCTAATGTTCAGGTGGAATCTCCTTTTCATGTAGTTTGAAGCCACTGTTCCGCGTCCTAATCTTCAGGACAGCAGAAAACAAGCTTGCTCCCTCTTCCCTATGACTTCCTCTGACATATTTATACATGATCCTCATCATGTCTGCTCTCAACCTTCTCTTCTGAATGCTAAACATGCCCAGCTCTTTAAGTTGCTCCTTATAGGGCTTGTTCTCCAGATCCTTGATCATTTTAGTTGCCCTCCTCTGGACACATTCCAGCTTGTCCCTTCAACTGCGGTGCCCAGAATTGGACAAAGTTTTCCAGGTGTGGTGTGACCATCACTATCACAATACCCTAATACAAATCTACAAACTGGTCATGAGTGGAATATCATCCATGGTTTTGGTAGCTGCATGTCAAAAAGGGGTATTTGTAGGCCTGTGAAAGCTTCAGAAAAGGGCAACCAAAATAATGAGGTATGGGTGGAATAACAGGTTACACGAGTTGGGGATAGCTGGTTTATTGGGGGGGGGGGGCGGGATTGAGGAAGAGAGATCAAAGGAGTGGTTTTCAAAAAGAAGCACAACACAGAGTAAAAATAAAGAGCTCCCCTCCCTTGCTCTCATAACACTACAACAATGGGTCGTTCAATGAAGTTCACAAGTATGAAATTAAGGGCTGAGAAAAGGAAATACTTTTTCATGTTTAGAAATGTAAAAAAACAAGGTAAACACAAACTACAGCATTTGCCTTCATATGATATGACAAATGGTTACCAGTTTATAAAGGGATTAGACAAACGAACAACAGAAGGGGCCGTGGTGGCACAATGTGCTAAACCATTGAGCTGCTGAGCTTGCTAACCTCAAGACTGGCAGTTTGAATCCACAAAACAGGGTGAGTTTCTGCTGTCACCCCCATCTCCTAGCAGTTCAAAACCATGCAAATGTGAGTAGATCAATAGGTACTGCCTTGGCGGAAAGGTAAAAGGACGCCCCATGAAGTCATGCTGGCTGCGTGACCAGGAGGTGCCTACAGACAACGCAGGCTCCTTGGCTTGGAAATGGAGATGACACCCTCCCCCTCAAAAGCCACAACTGAGCACTGCCTCCAGAGATGGAGATGAAAAGGGAAGCCTTTGCCTTTGTCTGTGTGTTTCATTGTGTGTTTCAAAGGCTTTGAATGTTGGCCTGTGTCTGTATATATGCTAGAATCCGCTCTGAGTCCCCTCAGGGAGATAGGGCGGAATACAAATAAAGTGTTGTTGTTGTTTGTAAGATATGAATGATCAGTTATCCTGGTGGCTATATTTTCAGCATGAGAAGACACATGCCTCATTCTGGGCAGGAGATTCTGAGCAGTAAATTCCAGAAGTAACTATTTCATGCTTAATTTTCACACATTCACCAAATATTTTTAAAGTATGAAGTCGTGAAGAGAAAAATGGTTCTTCATGGCCGTAGTCATTCTCCATTATGCATCACACAGAGGTAGACTAGTAGCCTATGGGTGCGATAGTACAGGGGAAGGAAGGGGAAATTGAGTATTCCTTCGGTGAAACTTACCTAATACAGTTATGGGGATCTGACTTGCAATCTGTATTACAACGAAACCGCTCCCATGAAAGCCATCCCATTGGAGGTGTTCTCATAAGTCCATTTTCCAGAGCCAGAGCCAAAGGGATTAGGGACAGAAGGAAGGCAGAATTGATGAGCTTCATGATCAGGGCTGGTGAGCCAGTGCTGCAAAGAGGAGGAAATATTACTTTTCATTAGGAAAAAGGTCATATCCTGCACAATATCTTCATTCTATACTTCAATGGCACTGTTCAAATGAATGTAGCAAAGCAAGCTGAGCATGAGTTTCTTGTCTGTGTTATTTAGCTGCATATCCTTTCCCCTTCCAATGTGCCAGAGTGAAACATAGAGGATTCCAACTAATGGTAGTTTCCTGATTTCTCTTAACCAGAAAAATATAGCTACAAGCTTCCAAAGAAGTCTCAATCTTAAATAACTAAAAGGCTTATTGAGCCAAGATGGCTTGTCTGAATGCCACTATTGTTTTGAGTACAGCCTTTTGAATGCTTACACATTGTTAATGGAGCACAGCAATACCTATTGCTCTATTCAACACATTCCACACTTGTAGGACAACACAAATTACTCAACTAAAGTCCTGCATCCCATCACAAACAGGAGCCTTCGGTGGTGCAATGGGTTAAACCCTTGTACCGGCAGGACTGAAGACTGACAGGTCGGAGGTTCAAATCCAGGGACAGCGCGGATGAGCTCCCTCTGTCAGCTCTAGCTCCCCATGCAGGGAAATGAAAGAAGCCTCCCACAAGGATGGTAAACACATCAAAACATCTGGGCATCCCCTGGGCAATGTCCTTGCAAATGGCCAATTCTCTCACACCAGTAGTGACTTGCAGTTTCTCAAGCCGCTCCTGACACAGAAAAAAAACCCCATCACAAAGAAGTTCCTGTGGTATGGAACACAATTTTTCAACTTTAAGACCTCCACAGCTACAGAAACAGCTAACAATTTTCCCAAATGAAAAACAAAACAAACAAAAAAGAAACAGGGTCAGCTAACACCTCTCAACAAAAAGGATTCCCTCACACAGGAAGCAGCCAGGCTTTGAAACTGCAAGACCCTTAAATGCTAATCAAGGTGGCCAATTGCAACATCCACACTTGCCTCAAACAGATAAGAGTTCTTTCTCCCATCCTGGGCCTTCCACAGATAGCTTCCAACAGACCTCATAACCTATGAGAATGCCTGCCATAGATGCAAGCGAAATGTCAGGAGAGAATGCTTCTGGAACACGACCATACAGCCCAGAAAACTCACAGCAATCCAGTGATTCCAGCCATGAAAGCTTTCAACAACATGTTTTGAAAATAGTTTTTTTTAAAAAAAAAAGAAAAAGAAATGTTAAATAGCACAAGGCTTCTTTCAATGAATTAAAGAGGGGAACCACTTATGGGCCTCTTGCTAACAAGGACCAAAGTTTTTGTCCAGCCCTGACAAAAGGCCAGCCTTGGCATTTATCAACATAATCTTCCGCATTACCAGACATTATCTTCATGTCCCACCACCTTTGTACTCCATCTGATCTGTTTGGCAATGTATTGTTTATAAGCTACCAAATATATGTGACAACTTACCTGGGAGCAGAGTTCTACAGCAAGACAAACAAAGAAGTCTGAGAGCAAACCAAGTCTGGACTCTTGCTGGAAATTACAATATTAGACTTGGGGAATATCATGAAATGGCACAATTCATGTGAAAAGATGATAGCATTCAATGAAGTGGAAGCCAGTAGGAAAAGAGGAATATTGCACTATAACTACGAGGGTTGAATGAAAAGAAATGCTTCCACCTTCATTACTTGGGTTTGAATGGGAATATTTTAATAAATCAAATGCAGAAATAATCCTTAGAATGTGCTCTTTAACTACCACTATTCGCTTTTCCACATAATCACCAGACAATTGGATAGATTTCTGACAACGATGAACAAGTTTTCTGAAGCCGTCACGGAAGAAGTTGACACTCTGTTTCTGCAACCAGTGTCTCACAGTTCTCTCAATGTCTTCATCAGAAGCATAATGATGTCCCTGCAGATCTTTTCATTATTGGGAACAGATGGAAGTCAGACGGTGCTAAATCTAGACTGTATGGAGGATTCTGATGAATCTCCTTTAGGGTGACACCTTCTGCTGTCAAGATTTCAATGACTGCACATTGCTTAAGACGAATTGACTGACCATCTGAGCAGGATTCCATACTTCATATTTTAACAACACAACCGTTCAATGCTAAGGCTTTCCGCCAAAATGGAACTGTAGAGGAGAGTTTACTGAACAAGCCAGTACCTGCCACATACCAGTACTGCCATATGTTGAGGAGTTACGAAGGTGGAGGCATTACTTTTCATTCAACCCTCGTAGGACTCCGTCCACACAGCTGAATAAAATCCCACATTATCTGCTCTGAACTGGAATATGTGTCAGTGTGGACTCAGATAAGCCAGTTCAAAGCAAATATTGTGGGATTTTCTGCCTTGATATTCTGGGTTATATGGCTGTGTGGAAGGGCTCTAGATTGACTCAATCAAGGAAGTCAAAACCTTGAGCAGAGCTGATGACTGAGGTTCTGAGAGATCTCTCAAACCACATTCATTCTACAGTGTAGAGATGCACCCTTAGCTTCAAGAAGGAGCTTAGGTTTGATCTGCTGCGGGACACATTTATTTGTGATTTTTGCAATCCCTGATGTGTGTAGAACTCTCCTCCAGCACCACATGTCAAATGAGTTAGTTGACTTTCTTCATTGTCCAGCTTCCACAACCAGACATAGCGACTGGAAATACACACACAGCCTTCAAGTTAGGGTTGCCCATGCCATGGTATTTCCATTTTCTATATGGTTGTGAAAGCTCGCCAGTGAAAAAAGCTATGTATACTTCGGTGCCTTTTTACGTTTCTGGAAACTGCATAATGACACGTGTAGAGAGACACGTGAACACAAAAGTGTGAAAGCATTACACGTGAAAAGAAAAAAAAACTCCGACTAATCTCGAAAGTTTGTCGGAGTGTTAGCCGCATCCATGGAAATATCTCCAAGCAAGCATGCAGCCGGCCAACCCTCTTCTTACCTGTGGAAAATCCTGCAGCCCGACCACCTTCACTCGCCAAGCTCTTCTTCCTCTTCGAAAGCTCTGCCTGCCTTCCACCGATCATGTGACCAGCCTGGCTTTTTGGAAGGTCAGCTGATTTCAATCACTTGCCTCCAAGAAGCGGAAGCAGCCGCTCCTAACAACTGGAGAGATCCCTCCCTTTGCTTCTTTTTAAAGGGTGCATCTACACTGCAGAATGAATGCAGCTTGGCACCCTTGCATTTCCCTGACTCAATGCTATGGAAAAGTGGGAATTATAAATTTACAAGGTCCTAACAGCTCCTAACAGCTGGTAAGCTGGCTGGGCTTTCTGGCAGTCCAAAACTCCTGGGGGCCCAAAGGAATGCAGTTTGACACCACTTTTATTGTCATGGCTGAATAATAATAATAATAATAATAATAATAATAATAATAATAATAATATTCGCGCATCATTCGAAAATACATCACACAGTCCTAGACGCTTGGGAAGTGATCGACTTGTGATTTTGTGATATGAAATCCAGCATATAGATCTCGTTTCCTGTGACATACTGTGCTTTTGTGTCAGTAAAATAATAATAATAATAATAATAATAATAATAATAATAAAACAACTTTATTTATAACTGGCCACCATCTCCCCAAAGGGGACTTGGGCGGCTAACATGGGGACAAGCCCAAAAATAATACAGCATAATTAGACACAAAACAACAGAACAATTACATCACAACAAAATACATAAAATAACAAAATAAAATAAACATTGCAAAATAATATAATAAAAGTCAAACACAAGGCACAAGATAAAATGTTAAAACCCTGGGTGATATAAAACCATGGCCATACAGCCCGAAAAACCTACAACATCCCAGTGATTCTGGCCATAAAAACCTTCAATAGAAAAAGTGTATTTGTGAGGGAGGAGCCCAAGAAGGAGGAGAAGTGGGGTTTAGCTTTTATTAAGGACAGGGGGAGGTGCATCATGAGGACAACTGTAGATGAAAACAAACAAATGAGTTGGATGGTCACTCTCCGAAGGCACATCAGAAGAGCCAAGTTTTTAGATCTTTTTTAAAGACTGCTAGGGTAGGGGTTTGCCTAATTTCACCAGGTAACGAGTTCCAAAGCCCGGGGGCCACAGCGGAGAAGGCTGTCTCCCTCATTCCCACAAGTCAAGTCTGTGATGGAGAAAGGGATGAAAGGAGGGCCTCCTGAAAATCGAAGAGATCGTGCAGGTTTATGGTAGGAGATGCGGTCACAAAGGTAAGCGGGTCCCAAACCATTCAGGGCTTTATAGGTGATGACCTGCACCTTGAATTGGGACTGGAAAATGAACAGCAGCCAATGGAGCTCCTTGAACAGGGGGGTTGATCACTCCCTGTAATTCGCCCCAGTTAGTAGTCTGGTTGCCGAACGTTGGACTAATTGAAGTTTGTTATAAGTTTTTTGGGCTGTATGGCCATGTTCTAGAAGCATTCTCTCCTGATGTTTCACCTGCATCTATGGCAGGCATCCTCAGAGGTTGTGAGGTCCTCACAACCTCTGAGGATGCTTGCCATAGATGCAAACCAAACGTCAGGAGAGAATGCTTCTAGAACATAGCCATACAGCCCAAAAAACCAACAACATCCCAGTGATTCCAGCCATGAAAACCTTCAACAAGACTTATAAAGTCCTGATTCTACCGTCAGTGAAAATATTTTTAATTCACTGCCATTGTCTTAAATACACTTTGGGAAACTGATTCCTGACTGAATAGCCTCTTTCAGTCTAGCTGTACATATGGCACTGTGGTGCCCTCTTGTGACTGTAAGTAAAAATAATGAGGCAAAGTGTGAAATCAGCATTTTCTTTGTTTATATTTTTATACAGCAAGCCTTTCGCAAGAGAATAAAAAAATCCTTTCGGGATGCAGAGATTTGTCCTGTTGTTATTTGCCCTATAGAGAGAGGGCAAGACTTTATTAAACAGCAGAACTATTTAGTAAGAGATTTTGTGTGACTGCTTTGCAACTACTTCAAATCCAGACAGTCCTTGTCCTTGAGTAGGAATGAAATCAGCATAGACAAAGAGGTAACACAGGCCTGGGCAAACTTTGCTCCTCCAGGTGTTTTGGACTTCAACTCCCACTATTTCTGGCCTCAGGTCCTTTCCTGGCCTCAGGAAGGAGCCTGAGGCCAGGAATGGTGGGAGTTGAAGTCCAAAACACCTGGAGGATTGCAGTTTGCTCAGGCCTGGGTTAAAACATCATTACCAAAGGAAATAAGGGTAGATCTCCATTGTAGAATTAATGCATTTTGAACCCACTGTAACCGTCTTCACTCAATCTTATGAAATCATTTAAGTTGTAGTTTGACAAAGAAGGCTAAAAAGCATAACTCCCGAGATTCCAAAGCATGGATCCTTGGCAGTGAAAGTGGCATCAAATGTAGTTCAACTCTTATGATACTTTGAATCAACATAGGGAAAAGCCCTGCCATGCCCTATGTGTGCTGTTGTGTGCCTTCATGTAGTGTTTCGTCTCAAAAGAGGCCAATCACAAGCAAACTCCACTTACAAGCCACTTTTTCCATACGTGGCTTTCAGGACCTCTGGAGGAAAGTGGGAAGGGAAGAGGAAGGGAGGGAGAGAGAGAGAGAGGAAAAGAGAAATCTGGTCTCTCTGATGCGAGGTTGCTGGAAAACCTGGATCACCAGAAAGCTGCCCCTGGAGGGTCCTACATTGGCTATTCCAGGGACGATCCCGTGTTCCGGGTTTTGCACTGTAAACATCCACACCAATAATAGCCAGAGTTCAAGAGTGAAAAGGAAGAGGAGAGGAAAAAACTAGTGATACAACCAAAACGAAAGCAGAGACAAGTAACTGATGATCCGATTGAACCCCGGGCATTATATCTCCAGTATTTCAGCAAGGTAAGACTCCTTCCTTTGCATTTAAAAATTTTCTAAACTGTTTTTTTAATGTTTCCTTGAATTCCAAACTATCTTTTGCCCCAGGATGGATCTACACCGTCTCATAATGCAGTGTAGAAGCATATAATGCAGTTTAACTGCGTTATCATGCCTACACTGGCCATATAATGCAGTTCCAAGCTGCACTAAATGGCAATGTAGACCCAGGCCCAGATGCCATGAAAAAACCTAAGCAAGCTCATGAGTTAATTTTTTTTAAAGGGCTCTTTTCCAAAAGTATTTTGGCCATAGGAAACTAGTTGAAGAGCCCAATGATCAAATTCAATGTTTTACCATACCTGCTGCCTGGGGCTGTATATAATAATAATAATAATAATAATAATAATAATACTTTATTTATACCCCACTACGATCTCCCCATGAGGCCAAGCCCGCAGTACATCATAAACAAAAGCAATAACAAAACAATCAATACAATACAATTAATATAAATCACATAAACAAAATAAACAGTAAACAGTAACACACAAGCATTTAGAAACCTATGGCCAGGCCAAATGTAATAGTTAAAATTAATAATAATAATAATGCATATACAGGAGAGCCTCCCAAGGGATGCTGCCAGTTGGCTTTCTGCTTGCGAAAGAGATGTGGAAAGATATTCCTGTTTGCACATTAAAACTTTTCTTAGCTTAATGCATTTCTCAACCTTGGGGTTGGGACCCCCGGGGAGTGGTTGTGAAGAAGATGTCAGAGGGGTTGCCAAAGACCATCAGAAAACACAGTATTTTGTGTTGGTCATGGGGGTTCAGTGAGGGAAGTTTGACCCAATTCTATCATTAGTGGGTTCAGAATGATCTTTGATTGTAGGCAAACTATAAATCCCAGCAACTACAACTCCCAAATGTCAAGGCCTATTTTCCCAAACTCCATCAGTGTTCACATTTGAGCATATTGAGTATTTGTGCCAAGTTTGGTCCTGATCCATCATTGTCACAGTGCTCGCTGGATGTAAGTGAACTCCAAAACTCAAGGTCAATGCCCACCAAACCTTTTCAGTATTTTCTGTTGGCCATGGGAGTTCTGTGTGCCAAGTTTGGTTCAATTCCATCATTGGTGGATTCCAGAATGTTCTTTGATTGTAGGTGAACTATAAATCCCAGAAACTACAACTCCCAAATTACAATATTAATGCCCCAAACCCCACCAGTATTCAAATTTGGGAGTATTGGATATTTGTGCAAAATTTGGTTCATTGAACGAAAATATATCCTGCATATCAGATATTTACATTATGATTCATAACGGTAGCAAAATTACAGTTGTGAAATTGCAACAAAAATAATGTTATGATTGGGAGTCACCACAACATGAGGAACTGTATTAAGGGGTTGCGGCATTAGGGAGGTTGAGAACTACTGGCTTAGCTGGAGAGACTGTTGTTCTCTTGAATGGTTTTGACTTAGACTGCTGCTTAACTTGGCTTTGTCTGTTAGACTTATGGAAGAGGGAGGGGGAGAGCTCTCCAAGGTATTATTTCTTACTTCTACCTAAAGGTGGGAGCCAGCATGATGACTCTGGAGAAGAGAGTTTGATTCCTTACTTGGCCATGGGAATCCCACTGGGTGATCTTGGACAAGTCAAACCCTCCCAGCCTCAGAAAGTCCTGTTATAGGATCCTCTTAGACCCAATCTACATCGACAATTTAATAATAACAACAACAACTCAGCCATTATTAGGATCTCAAAATTGAACTGCAAAGTCTCTGGCATAAACCAGTACAGGTGGTCCCAGCAATTGGCAAACTGGGTGCCATGCCAAAAGATCTCAGCCAGAATTTGGAAACAATAAACATTAACAAAATCACGATCTGTCAACTGTAAAAGGCCACCTTGGATCTATGTGCATCATTTGAAAATACATCACACAGGCCTAAATACTTGGGAAGTTTTTGACTTGTGATTCTGTGATATGAAATCCAGCTGTGACATACTGTGACATACTGTGTTTTTATGTCAGTAAAATAATAATTTATTTATTTATATCCCTCTACCATCTCCCCAAAGGGACTTGGGTCAGCTTACAAAAGCACTCAATAGTGCAAACATATGAATACAACAAAGTATATAAACAAAATAGCACAATAATAATGAAGTCCACATAAACAAATTACATAAAACATCATATAAAATGCAGTGTGAAGTTAGCTTTAAACTGTAGCAGCCAAACAACGAACTCCCACAAAAGCAAGCAGAAAGGCCTTAATGTGCTTTGTGATTTGTGTAATCCCCATCTGGGCCACAAACTGGTTTCAGGATTTTCTATGTAATCATCTTCAGCACTTTCTTCAATATTGTTTTGAAACTGCGTTAAATGGTCAGTGTAGAATAGATGTGCCATAAGCTGGAAACAACAGCAACAAATCTCAGGAAGCAGGACTTTCTCCATCCAAAGTGTGCACTTTAATCCTTCATTGGTGTCTGGGATTATGAGTAGATGTCCTTGAGAAATTCATATGGGTTATGTGTTATAGATACCAACAAAGTTTAGAAGAATAAAAAAAATGTTGCTTTAGTGCAGGCATGGGAATTGCATGGTTCTACAGATATTGTTAAACTTCAACTCTCAGCATGCCTCACCATGGAGTTGCAGCCCAGCAACATCTAAAGGACTACACCGCTCCTGTTTCTTATTGGGTGGCTGCAAGCTCTGTGCCCTCACAATGAGTGCTTAGCTTCTGACCCTCCAGATTTTGTTGGCTGCCACACCTATCAACCAACAAAGAGGGGTGATGTGAATTACAGTTTAGCAAGTTTTGAAAGATAGAAGTATTGCCCACTCCTGGTCTATAGGTAGGGAATCTTGAAGGCTTACAATGGAGTTGAGGTTGTGGGTTCCATCCTGCATGCTCGCTCGCTCTCTCAGGACATATTTTACAATGGAAATGTTAATTATCTATTTCAGCTGAATCTCCACATTTTTGTACAGACCAACATTGGTTGCAAAGAGAAATGAAGTCACTGAAATATTCAAGACTTGGAAATAGCCAGATAACAACAGAATCAACATCATCGTTCTGCTCTTTTTTATCTACACAGTCAATATCTACACAGTCAAGGAAGTTTACATCTGCAAAGGCTTGACTCAGTTGGACTCTGTTTTGTCGTGAATAGAAATAAATAAAAAGATTGAACAGTTTCATGAAGTGGGCAAGTGCTCAGGTACTGGCCATTGTCAGATGTTTCTAGGTATGAAAATCATTTTCTTTGTGGCCAGTTCACTAACATCATCTGATAGAGATGAAAAATAAAAGAAAACACTTATCTGCCAGCCTGTTTTGATGTCAGCGATGCGTCAGTAACCTAATAAAGAAGAAAGAAAGATTATTCCTCTATGAATTGCTGCATGAAAGGAAAGCCTCCTGATGTCTGTGCTGTGAAACGTTTGCTGTTTTTCAGCAGTTCCAGAGTGTATGTGTTCTATCTGGATTAGCATTCTCTTTCAGGAGCAGGTCTGTACATTTCCTCTCTCTTCACTCTGCAAAATAAGATTAGAAGATGAAGCTGAATGAACGTAGCGTGGCACATTATGCCACATGTAACTCTCCAGTAGACCATACTGGCTTTCTGTGCAAGCGTGTGGAGCGCCACCATCACCACCATCACACCACTTCCTACCATCGCCGCTGGTTCATCCTGAAGGGCAACTTGCTATTCTATTTTGAGGACCGGGAGAGCCGGGAGCCACTGGGTCTAATTGTGCTCGAGGGTTGCACTGTGGAGCTGTGTGAGGCTGCCGAGGAATTTGCCTTTGCCATTTGCTTTGATGGCACTGGGGGCAAGGCTTATGTGTTGGTTGCTGATTGCCAAGCGGCTATGGAGGCATGGGTGAAGGCACTGTCTCGGGCCAGCTTCGATTACATGAGGCTAGTAGTTAAGGAACTTGAAAAACAACTGGAGGAGGCCCGGAAGAGTTTAGTCACCTGCCACAAATTACCCAAGAAAGCCACCTCTGTGCGCAAGAGACATCTCTCCAATCCTGCCATGGTACCAGTCAAGGAGAACTCTGTCATCTTAGAGAATGGGTCTTCCACATGGGATAGTGCCTGCACTTTTCCAGATGTTGTCTCTTTGGACCACGATGGGGGACATTTAAAACCTCCTCCATTACCTCCACGTCGAAAACCCACCAGCAGCAATGTGAGTGGAAGCTTCACTCCTGGTCTTGCTTCTCCAGGGCAAGAAAGTCCTGTGTCTCCTGAGACAACGTGTTTCTCAAAATTGCATGATTGGTATGGTCAGGAGATTGCAGAGGTGAGAAAGGAATGGCTGGAGAGTCCAAAGAGAGGAGAAAGGTGGTAAGAAAAGGGCCTACTTTTGAAGTGGATTTTTCTTTTTTTAGAAAAAATGGATACCAGCCTCATTTTTCCGGCATTCTTGCTGCCCTTATGGATTGTTCTTCCAAGCAACAGAGTTGCCAAAGAATTCATATTTATCTCTGGAATATTTAATTGCAGTTAAAAGTATACTGTGGGTTAGCCATGTCCCCAGTGAAGTATTTCTTGTTAATCATGAGATGGCCACAATATCCCAAAGAATTATGCATTGTCTGTAACTCAAGTAGAAGCTATCATATATTTTCAGACATTGACTGAGACTCAAAATAGTGCTGTGGTTCTCTATTTTGAAATCTCTGCTTCTTGATATATGAGAGGAATCTGTGTATCGCCATCCTTTCTCTTGTGTCCTACAATGTCTATATATTGCAGTTGCTTTGAGATTTATTGTTGAGAAAAGTACACTATGAATTGTGCAGCATGGTAAATATATTCACTCACAAGAATGATAATAGTATTTATATGACACCTTTGAAATATTCAAAATAGTTCATGTATCTGAATGTTTGTTACAACAGCCTGATGAGATAGGCTGGCTTCATTATGCCCATATGCTTTCCTGCATGGCAGGGGGTTGGACTGGATAGCTCATGTGGTCTCTTCCAACTGTATTATTCTGTGATTCTATGATATTACAAATGGAGATAAGGTGGGAGAACAGTAGTTTATCCTTTTATGACTTTATACTCCAATTAAATTTGAACCAAAAAATTTCCAGCCATCACATTGAGGTAGCCCATGCAAAATAACGTGTCAGCGAATGTCCCATATCCACAACACAGGTATGATTTTTTGTCCATTTAGAGTCAGTATTTGGAGATTAAACTCAAAGAGAAACAAAAGGATCTGAGTAATATGTGAAGTAAGCAATTAGAGGCAGTTCTTCTTTATTGTAATCTTGTAATAATCTACAGCTCTATCCAAGGGTAGAAATAATGTGACTTTTTAGCTATTGTTGACTGTAATTCCCAGTAGCCCCAGATAGCTGTGAAAATGCTGGATGTTGCTATTCAGCAACACCTGGAAGCTATATGATTCCCACCTTGATTTATTCACTTAGTTCCCCAGCATCCTCAATGCATCTGTCTCCTAAGGGTGGTCTAGGGCTGGATCTATATCCCAGGAGCTGATCCCAGATCTGCTTATCCCTGATTATTTGGCAGGGTAGGGTCATATAATCTAGTTTGAAGCATATAATCTGGGATCAATCCTGAGATATAGGGCAGTGTAGATTCAGACTAGGACTGCATTTGTTTCCTCTGGGAAGGATTCTGTTTTCTTTACATTATCTCCATAAATGCATTGAAGCTTAAGGACTCTACGTTTCAAAACAGCATTTGAGAATGGCTCTTTTGACAATGAAAGTTAAAAAGTCAGGTTAAGGCTAACTTCCTTTTTGTTGTTGTTATGTGCCATCAAATCAACTCCAACTGGATTTACAATGCAAATGATCTCTACAGGAATAATCATTCTTTTTGTTCAAGTACACGTACTAGCATACTGCAATTTTCTTGACCTTTGGATACAGTTTCTGTTTCAAGGTTTCACACATATCTAACCTTCAACTATAGTTTATTGTTGAGTCAATGAAACTATTATTTACCAAGGGTGTGCCTCAGATTCAGATTCAGATTCAAACCTGGAAGTGGATCAGATCATTTTGAGACATGTCTGAGCGGAGGCAAGTCTCCTCTGATGAGTTTGACTGAGTACATTTCTGCAGATATACAATGCGTCTCCCAGAATATTCTAAGAAAAAAATCACAGATGAAGAAAAGCATGTCTTATTTTGGAATTAATAGTTCCATCTTCCAATCTCAATTAAATATTCTATCAGGGTGATTGCATTGTTTATGTGGAAATAATACACTGCAGAAATATTTTTTTTTCCTGACTGATAACTACCTACTACTGTAGTTGGTGATTACCTGTCAGGAAAAAAATAATTTAAAGGAATTTTGTAATGTTATTAGGAACCTGGAAAATGTAGCATTGGATTACTGCTTGAAAAATGGATCCACATCATCCATCATCCACCCCTGTTTTGTTATACTTTGCCTGACTTTGGTGCCAACTGTGCAGAAATCTTTAAAAAATGTATTAAAGTGTTTTGCATTCGCTGTACTTTTTATGGTACAAGCCTACAAAGGTATCCTTGAGGACTAATCACACTAGAGAAAAAATCCACTTAAATCCCGTTTCTGCCTCCTCCAGAATTCTTGGGTTTGTAGGCTTCTTTAGACTTCTCCCTAAACTACAAACTCCAGAATTCTTCAAGAGGCAGAAACCGGATTTTAAGTGATTTTTTTTCCTCTAGTGTGATGAGTCCTCAAGGATACCTTTGTAGGGTGTATCATTTTAATGCAAACTGATCAAAACAAAAGGCAAAAATAAAGGGCCACAATAGATAGTGTATCCATTCGTACTGCAAATATGTTCTCCCCTTCCACAAAAAAAGGTGTTTTGCCATTCTGAAATATCTCAAGTTTCTTAATAGGGCTTCTTCTATATATTTTCATAACAATGGTGCACCAAAAATCTTAGCTGCTCTTCATTTGAAAATACCCAACCTCTGAAAGCTACACTTGAACAAACTTTGCACTTATTCCCTTCATAAAGGGAATTCTTTATAAAATCTCCAATGCTATTTGGTTTTTGAAAAAACCTAAGATATGTAGTGACTCCTGCCACTTATTTGTATGAAATTTGAAAGGGCTTGGTGTTGTTGACCATTTTCATTAAATGTTGACAAGTTGGTTTCCAATTTGCTGACTTCAAAAAGAGTTCTGAATCATATCTTGGATTAAAAACTGAATCCTATCAGGGCTCCAAACTTAACCAAGCTGGATAAAACTGCTTGGTAAGTCCACAAATCCAGAGTCCAAAATTAATCTAGTCATATACCCCTCTGGTTGTCTAATATTTAGTATGAAATCAGAAGGAATAACTCACCGTTCTATTCTTAGTTTATGGCCAATTACAATTATTATTTCATTACTATTTTAATAAAAGCAGCTATCTCCCCCCTTACACAACACAGTCATTTTATCACATTCTAGTGGAATAATTATTTTAGCAGAGAGAAAGAACTGCTGTTTTTACTCAGATAAAATCCATCTGGCATGAGAAACAAAGCAGCATTGTCAGCATTTGTGTGAATGGCTGATGATGTGAACACAGAGTGAATTACACTGTAAGCACATTTAACTCCACAGACGTTTCTCCAATATTTCTGAACAATTCTATCCCTGACATATCATTTAGTACAATAATCCCAGTATCTTTGTGGTGCTTTACACTCTAGTAATGAATAGCACATGTATATTGCATGTCTTTGTATTATTTTTAAAAGATGTTTGCATGAGCTGTGTTTTGTACCAAAAATAAGAATTATATTGTTGTTTTATAGTTATCTGTAGTTCATATCCAAGATCTGAATAAACTATTTTTACGTGGTTTGATTTTACACTTATTTCAGAATGTGTTGCATGGAACTCTGGCCCCTTCTACACTGCCATATAAAATCCAGATTATATGCTTTGATTATATGCCAGTGTACTCATATAATCCAGTTCAAAGCAAACTATGTGGATTATCTACTTTGATAATCTGGATTATATGGCAGTGTAAAAGGGGCCTCTGTGAGCCTTCTTTCTAATACCAGAAGATTCAGGCCCCGTCTACACTACCATATAAAATACAGATTATCTGCTTTGATAATTTGGATTGTGTGGCAGTGTAAAAGGGGCCTCCGAATCCTGTCAAGTGCAGCACTCTACTTTCACAAAGAGGCCAATTCCTGTTTAAAAGCAGTTTATACGGAGTAATAATTACTCTTGTACCCTTGTGACCTGTATTCTATGTTATTGAGCAAGGGATCTAAGACCCTATCTACACTGCCATATAACCCAGTTTCTGAATCCAGATCTTCTGCTTTGAACTAAATTATATGGTAGCGTAGACTCAAATAATCCAGTTCAAAGCAGATTCAGAAACTGGATTATATGGGAGTGTAGATCCAGCCAGTCAGAATATTTTGATTTTTTAATTATTGGTAATTAGAACATCATTTAGCACATGCATGAACACAACATACTCTGCTTCCCTGATATGTGCCCCCCCCCCCAACATTGACCATTTTACTACAATTCAAAACTAGCAAAGTGTGCAAAATAAAACCCTTAATGAGCATCAGATTACACAATGGTGTGTATCATCACCATCTGGCCCTCAATCTGGTTCCAGGATTTCCTGTGTAATCACTTGCACAGTGAAACCACATTCTTCAATACCAGCTTGAAACGGCATTCAATTGTCAGAGTGGTTGAGGCCTGTGAGTTTAGTTGCATTTCTCACAACCTAAGGATTTTTTTTTCTCAGCAGCAATGTGTTATTTTGAGCAAAACCTGCTGTTACGCAATGTACCTTGGGTAATAAATCCTGTATGACTGTGAGACATTATTGTCTAAGTCTTCCCTTTGAGACCTATTGGCCTTACAAAAGACCTCCTCCTGATACAGAAAGAAACTGCTGGAACTGGGTTATTGGTATAGATTTCCAGCAGAACTGTGCGTTGGGATTCTCCATTGCAGGTGTCTACACTCCACAAAAACCGACCGCTTCATGATCTTAATGGAGGGCTGCCACTGGTAGCTTTATCAGCCTTGAATGCACATAATCCCTTTTTAAAACTATCTTGGGTTGCATCAACACTGCAGAATTAATGCAGGTTGACACCACTTTAACTGCCAAGGTTCAATGCTATGGAATCACGGGAGTTGAGGTTCTACAGAGAAGGCGCATAGCCTTCTCTGCCAAAGAATGCTGGTGCCATATCAAACAGCAAATCCCAGTATCCCATTGCATTACCTCTAGTTAAAGTGAGTTCAAACTGCATTAATTCTACAGTGTGATTACACTGCAGGGCTGTCCCTGCAGATTCTGAGTGGTATGTAATAATAATATTACATTGTAATATAATAATAATAATATTAAGTATTATTATATACAAAGTCTGTCACGGCCTCCACATTTTCTCCCTCTATTTCCCAGTTGTCAATCATTCTTGTTGCCATAATCTTGGTTTTTTTGATGTTTAGCTGCAACCCGGCTTTTGCGCTTTCTTCTTTCACCTTGATTAGAAGGCTCCTCAGCTCCTCCTCGCTTTTGGCCATCAAAGTGGTATCATCTGCATATCTAAGGTTGTTAGTTTCTTCCAGCAATTTTAACCCCAGCCTTGGATTCATCAAACCATGCACATTGCATATGTTCTGCATACAAGTTGAATAGGTTGGGTGAGAGTATACAACCCTGCCGTATGCCTTTCCCAATCTTATTATTATTATTATTATTAACTTTATTTATACCCCACAAATATCTCCCGAAGGACTCGGTGTGGCTTACAAAGGCCAAGGCCCTCAATAAAACAACAGCATAACAAATACAA